CCAGTAATTAACAGGTGTATTAAAAAAAAAATACCCTCTTTAAACTTTTCCTCCATTCATCTTTACCATATTATGCCAGAGCAGAGAGAATATCCCATGCTCAGATTATCCTCCTGCTGAGCTTCTTCAGCCATATGATGTAAAAAGTGACTCGAAAGAGTGAAGTCATAGACTGTTCTTCCCTCCCCACTAGCATCCCCTCGTGCATTCCCTTGTGCATTCTTGGCACTACTGTTTAGCTGCGATTACTAAATAGCTCCCAGCTATGTAAGACCAAATTTTAATAGTAGCCAGTGGCTTAAAAGGTATCTAGGTACAGAGATTTTTAAACCCAGCAGCTGAACTAATGGGTGCTTAACTTCCGATGAAACTGTTCTTGGCTGCTTAGGTTCCTGCCTGTTTCAAAGTAATGAAGCCTTAGATTTTACTTCATGTTTCCCAGCTGTCCCCTTGAAAATGAAACTGTGAAAATATTCAACTAAATGAAACCAGGTGGAGAATAAAAGCAAAATCCTTTTATTTCTTTACGAAGCAAACATTACCTGCGCTTAGGTCACTGGAATAGGCTGGGAGTCATTCATCTTCAGGCACAGCTAGTTCACTGGGGCAAAGAAATGCTACAGAGGTCACTGTAGAATCTCACAAGTACCACAGACCAAGGTTGAAGGAGCCTTCTAGATAAACTGGTGTGTAAGACGTAATAAAGCTGACCCTTCCCCACAGCATTTCATCTCTCTTCCCATATTTAAATATCTGTAACATTCTCTAGTGAACATGTTGTATGTGAGTATACATAAACCAAACAGAATGCACTACTTTTTCAGCCAGTATTGCTTCTGGTTTTCCTTCTTCAGGTGCTAGAGCTGTGCAATCTCTATTTCTAGATAACCTGTGGTATAGGTTATAATGTGTTTAACTGAATACTTAAAAGATACAACAGGGTTATCATGGTTTAACTACATGAAGACTTTTTTTAATTTATTTAATAGTAAACAAATCAGATAGATACACTTGCTAAAAAATATAGGTGGATTGCAGCACATAAACGTCTTTTATATCATTTATTTTTAAAGAAGACTTGTTCCAGTGAAGAAAATACAGTTTTGGAGGTTTCAACATTTAGTATTGTATAGTGTTTCAGCAAGGCACTCTTAAATTTCTTTTGGAGATTAAAGCTCTCCCCCTGTCTATGAATCAACAAAGTGACTTCTGATAACAGTATTCAGTACAGAACATTCCAACTACTCCAACTTGTGAAGCTATAGCAAGAATGGTGTAGATAATTGATTGGTAGTAACATTTCAGAAGAAAAATAGTTGTTCCATGTTTAGATTCTGTCAATGGCATCTCTATTAGTTTCATTTATAAACTTCTCATTATGTAAAACCAGGATATAACAGAAACCCAAGTTGTGACTGCAAAACAGAACTTGTCTGCTGTCCTGTTGCTGCTGGCTCTGAACAGCTAAGAAATAATTTATGGGAAACAGAAGAAAGTACAATGTCTAGGCAACAAGATCTGATATTAAGGTTGCTAAAAGTCTGGTGGATGAGATTTGTTTTGACGGAGTAAAGAAAATGCTCCATTTATATTGTCCAGAGCTTAACAGAACTGAATAAATTTATTGATTTTAAAATACCCTCTCAAATATAAAAGAAAGAAACACTTGAGTTAAAGGGTTATCTAGAAGCTACAACTCTCACTCTCTGGTACACTTTGACAAGAAAGTCTTACCTAAGAACAAAGTAAAACTTTTGAGAACTATTCTTTTCAATGATACATTACTGTATCAGTTCTGCTATTCTTCCCTATTCCTGATAGGTCTCATTTTCAGAAAGAGAAACCTTTCTATTTAAGATGATAACAAATGGAGAGCTGTTCTGGGGCATGGTCCATGGTCAGAAATCTCCCACTTCAGCTTGGGGAAACTTTCTGAAACACCTTCTATTTGTCTAACACATAAAAAACCCACATAATTGGACACGGCCTAACTGTGCTCAGCAAGCATAGCCAGCAGCTCTTGTTCCATGCCTTGACTGCTCAGTTCGTCTAAACTGTAGTATTGGTGAGCAATCTTCTCATCTGTGACAACCACCACTCGAAGCCCATGAGTATCTTCTCCCAGTTGACATCCTATTGCTGATGAAACCACCATTTCCAGTCCTTGGTAGGACCCTCCAGCATTCCTGTGGTAATGTCCAGAAAATACAGCTTTAACACCTGTTTAACAAAAAAAAAAAAAAAAAGAAAGAAAAAGAAAAAAGAGAGTATTTAGTTAGCAGCTGCATGTGAAAATGTGTATCCAGTACAAGACACTGCTAAGGGTATATGCTGAGGCTTACACAGCTGCTGGGCTGGTAGGAAGGTTCCATAGAAAGTACAGCTACAGGTATCATGTTTACTTTCAGTCTTTAATGGTTCAGAAAACATAAAATTAGAAGTAAACCACTTACCTCAACTTGCACTTTAAAGAAATCATTAGTAAACAACAGTAAATAATTCCAATTAATTATGAGTAAAAATAATTCCAATTCCAAATCCAGTAAAAAAAACAATTCCAATAAATAATGAGTAAAAACTTTCTTCTGCTCCAGTAGCTCTTTCTAGGGTTACTGGACTCAGAACTCCTTTGTTTTTACTCCAAGGTGTCTTTGTTGTCTTGCTACTCCTTTGGCTGGAAAGAAGGAACATTCTAAAGGAAGCTGATTAAAACCAGAAAAACACATTCAGTAATAGGTAATTGCCTAAAGGATGACTGTACTGAAACATGAGTTGAAAGCCAAGGATTGTGGAGCTGTATTTGTTAATTAACATTGAGAAAATTCCCTAAGGAAAGTTTAAACCTATTTATCCATGGTCAGTGACCTTAAAAAAAAAAGGGGGGGGGGAGAGAAGGGGAGGAAAAAAGGCAAGACAAATTAATAAATATTGAGAAGATAATTTATCGTCTTTCCTTGAAGACACTGGGGGGTTACCACAGACGGAACAGGGCCACGTACATCAAAGAAACCTCGTACGGGTTTGAGAATAGTAAGAGGCGAAGAAAGATGAGAGCAGCAGAAAAGGAAAGGTTGACCACCTGCAAGAGGAGTTAGGCATGGTAATGACATGCAGGAATGTTTACATAGTATGAGGTACAAACAGGGCAGGTATGTTCTGATTTCTTCTGTATTTTAAATGACTTAGTTAATGTTTCATTTTTTTAAATAGACTAGATTTTGGACTGTATTGAGCAAAAAAAAATCATTATAAACTTGAAAAAATACATTTGATCTGTTGCAGGAGTCAACAATAAGCTACATCAAAAAATTCTGGATGGGTCACATGCAAGTATCATTCAAGCCTGGTCAGGAGTAGAAGAAAAGCCAAATGCCAAGCAGCAGCAGGTAAAGAGGACAAACACACTGCATGTTTAAGGCTTTATAATGTACTTTGAAATCCTTGTCTGAATCATGGTCAAAGTGATCAGGTAAGCAAATGTTTAAAGAAAGTCCAACCATTCTTTCCTAGAATACGGCATTTTAACAAACAAATTAATTAGGTTTGCAAATGCTGATTTTGACCGGCTTCTAAAGATGAGCCATATGACAGGTCTACTCTCCTGCCACGCCTCTCAGAAGCTATGGAATTTTTGCAGAGATTTGGAAACAATTTACAATGAAATGAAACTGTGTCATCCTCACCTCCAAACCAGCAATTTCTGCTTTTTGTTTCTTCTGCATTGCAAACATTAAAAAGATCAGTGGATAGAAGCTGTAATCGCTACCTGAATGGCCCTTCTGATTGCCATTACAGGTCAAATTCATGCTACCAAATTGATTATTTTCCCCTCCCCATTTGATGTTTCATAATTTTTAATAACATGTTTTATTACTACAAAATAATCAAACCTTGTTTAGTCTCATGAGTCAAAAATGTAACAAAAAAGTAATTTTGATGCTAAGCACTTATCTTTCTTGTCAAGGTTAGTAAAAACATTAGCAACAGAGCTGAGAACCTAGCTCCCCCTAAAAGATAACATGCTGTCACAGACAAGCATTTCATTCCCAGTTACACCAGCATCCTTCACCATTTAGCCACTCTGCACTGGTGACAGAGGCAGCTGAGCATCACCCTCAACAGCATTTGTGGTTTGGCAAAAAATTATTCATCATCTTTGTTGCTAATTTAAGACAATACATATTTTATTTTGAAAGAAAATGTGGAGTTAGTATAAACAGCTAATTCTACAAACAGGTTTGGGGATAAATTTTTGGCATGCTAGTCTAAGATCATTGGATTTCAGACTGTTACAGCTTCCTGAAGCTGCATGGAATGCTATTTTATAGTATTGTGAAACAGAAAAGTTATTGGACCAGATGGCTGAAAACACTGGGAATTTTGTTGTTTATCATCAAGTGCAAAACATGTAAATTGATTCTATATTCAGTTACAGGTGTTTAGGTTACAGGTGTTGATTTATGGAGCTATGAATGAAAATTCAGAAGTTTTCAAACACACTGAAAGGATTTAGGTGTAGTTTGTTTATTGAAATACAACAGGTTGTGAGCTCCTTAACCATAATGACACTTGGATGGTTCTACATAAAGCAGCTAAAAATATATTAATTAATTAATATGAAGTGAGTCAAACCCCACAGTATGTATTCCTGACAACTATGACTAGGTGGCCAGTAGATGCTGTACCTTGCTGAACATCATTTGTGTTTCTATTGTCAATAAGCTAACAAGCACAGGTCTAAACACATGCCTGTTCCTGAGGAGGACAGCACTGAAGAGTAAAGCTCAGCACATATGGGCACACGTGCCAGCTGTCAGGGACAATGTGAGGTGCTTCCTGCACACAGCAAAGGTCTGGCTTACCACCCCAGCCTAAAAGCTGTCCTTAAATACGCAGCACTGATAATGACCTTTCCTACCATTGTTTTTATCATTACATATACAGATACACAGGAATGGACACTGTGATGACAATACCAAACTTCATTTCTTATTTTTCATATATTCCAGCAATCTATCATTCCATGCTTACGCAAAAGGTAACACATGCTTAGTCGTGTTCAAGTGGTAGGCCAGAGAATGTTGTAATTTGTGAGATACTATAACCTTAAATGACATAAAAACCCCTCAGCAGCAACAACTGATCTTGCCTTCAGACAGCAGAAATTCTGGAAAAGAGCAGAAGCAATTTAAAGGCAGAAAGCTGTGCTTAAGAACACACTCTAACTGCACAAGGAAATCCTTCTTTCTCTACCCAGAAACAAATTCCACCTTTTTTTCCTGCAGTAGATTTAGGCCTCTTTCACAGTGATTAAATGAAAAAGGGCATAGGTAAGCATGTCTTAACACAGTAGGCGACATCAATCCTTTGGTTTTATAGGAGTGATTTCAAAACTGATATACATAAAATAGGCTCAAAGTATAGTTAAAAACTAAGCAGCTTGGAAAGCAGAATATAAATTATTCTGCTGTGTGCCTCATGAAAGCTACATGGGCTTTCATATTTCAAAATCTGAACCCTTCTCTAATAGCAAATGTTTCAAGGTGGAAAACAGAGGATGAAGTTACCTTTATGTTGAATACTAGTCAACTAGTCACTGTCAGCTAGAACTTGTCTGTTACCTTATTTTAGTTTATCAGTCCTAATTCTCTTGCTCAGTGCAACCTGCTCATCCCTCTGGTGTAGGAGTTACACTTGGAAGTCAGTCAACATAACTCTTGAGAGCTTGCTCTGACTCAGCTGCAGGAACCTATCAAAACAATTTGAGTTGCTTTGTGGTTGGGAGAAACCCAATCAGAATACCTCAAAAGGCAGCGTAAGAATATAGAAGTCCTGTGATGTAACAGGCTCTTTACAGATATTCTGTACTTTAGATATTATTTGGGTCCTTAAAATCATAAAATAAAGATGGCACAGTCAGTCTGAGAGTGAGCAGTCATTTCTCAACTCCTACCATGTTGCATCTTATTACAGTGACTAGCGTGACATACTTAAGCAATTCAAGCAGCAGAATCATAGAATAGTTAGGGTTGGAAAAGACCTTAAGATCATCTAGTTCCAACCCCTCTGCCATGAGCAGGGACACCACATACTAAACCATGTCACCCAAGAGTACGTCCAACCTGGCCTTGAACACCGCCAAGGATGGAGCATTCACAACTTCCTTGGGCAACCTATTCCAGTGCCTCAGCACCCTCACAGTAAAGAGCTCCTTCCTTACTTTTAATCTAAACTTCCCCTGTTTAAGTTCGAACCCATCACCCCTTGCCCTACCACTACAGTCCCTAATGAAGAATCTCTCTCCAGCACACTGGTAGGCCACGTTCAGATACTGGAAGGCTGCTCTGAGGTCTCCGTGAGCCTCTTCTCCAGGCTGAACAGCCCTGACTTTCTCATGCTGTTTTCATACGGGAGGTGCTCCAGCCCCTTTATCATCCTCATGGCCCTCCTCTGGACTTGCTCCAACAGCTCCATGTCCTTCTTATGTTGGGGACACCAGAACTGTACACAACACTCCAAGTGAGGTCTCATGAGAGCAGAGGGGCAGGATCACCTCCTTCGATCCGCTGGTCACACTTCTTTTGATGCAGCCCAGGATACGGTTGGCTTTCTCTCTTCATTACATGCACACCTATCCATACCACGAGGCTGCACTTGCCTCCTCTACCCCCCAATCTTTCTGCAGTGACATCTGGAGCTGTTTATGCCATGGCTGGGCATTCTCTTCCCTTGTTTCCTAATACTGAGAGCAAAACTGAACACTGTGGCATCTTTACATACCTTCTACTTGTTAAAGTGGGACCCATCTTGCCTTGTAGCACTGTTGTTAGAAGAGCAAGCCCTGATGGAGAGGATGCTGATGAGGCTGCTTACTGCAGCCTCTGAGCTAAGGCTTTGTGTGGAGTTTGGGAGGACGTAAGTCACACTAGGCTTAATGATACTAGTTTGCTTTCAGCTTAGAGCTGCCTATAATGGATCCACGTTTGTGGCACTTTCCTGTCCTTCATGCGCTTAAACTATAACCAATGGTGTCCAGCAACATTGTAGGTGCTACTTTTGGGCATGCATCTAGCATGGACCTGACTTTATCTTGGTCCTTCCTTGCAGCATTAAGTGGAAGCTAAATGAAGGATCAAGGACTGAACATTTAGACACCTGGTGTTTCACCTGCTTGATTACATCAGCTGGGTCCATAAAATACCCTTAACAGCTTCCAGTAA